TGGTGTATTAGGTTTGCATTTTGCCCACTACTGGTGAGATTTAACAGTTTTTCTTACCAGTGTTGGCACCCACATCACTTCTATCTAGTCCTTAAGCCACAGTAAGTCTTTGACTTATGAATAAACATCTTTTATAGAACATCTTTTATAGAAGAATGATTCAGTTCAGAATTAGGCATTGTATATGAGTCTTTTTCTTTTTTTGGAAGAAGGTCCTTGACATTTTTGAAGATTATATATTTTGCTAAGCATGGTGGTACATGGTTGTAATACCAGCACTCCGGAAAGCTGAAGCAGGAGGATTGCAAGTTTAAGCCATCTCTCTCTCTCTCTCTCTCTCTCTCTCTCTCTCTCTCTCTATATATATTTCTCTCTCTCTCTCTCTCTCTCTCTCTCTCTCTCTCTCTCTCTCTCTCCATATATATATTGCATTTTTTTGTTTGTCTCCCAACCAATTTGATTCCTCACAATTAGATTTGGATTATGGATCTTTGGCAGGAACATCAGATCTCATTGTACAGGACTTTGATCTATCTTATTACTAATGGTGTTCACTTTGCTCACTTGATCAAAGTGGTATCTTCCAGGTTTTACTGCTGTGAGGCTATTTTTCATTTTTGCTTTTTTTTTGTTTGTTTGTTTTTGTTTTGGTACCAGTGTTCAAACTCAGGTCCGTGCACTTGCAAGGCAGGTGGCGGAATCGCTGAGCTAAATCCCTGGTCCTATTTTTTCCTTTTGAAATTACAGTAAGTTCCCCACTTATGAACATTCAAGTTGCAAATTTTCATAGATACAAACAGACCTTGTATTGTAAACATTTGTACACTTGAGGAAATCACAGAAGTAGCCCATGTGTCTGCTGGATATTGTTGCACTTGTGCTACCATGTGCTTACTGTACAATGTGATAGTGGACAGTAGTACCATGCTCAGTAAGAGCCCAGGATGTCTGGAAATGAAGAAGAGCACTGGTGTAGAGGATACTGCTAGGAAGTGCAAATCCATAACCATAAAAACAAAAGTGAAAATAATTGAGAGATTGTACCAAAGTGAAAATAAGGTCGATATCACTCCTTCTTAAAACATGAATTGTTCAACCATTGTCACAATTCTAAAGAACAAGGACGAGATCATGGGACATGTGAAGTCTGCTATGCTAGTGAAGTCAACAATAAGATAAAAGTGTGGGGCTGGGGATTTAGCTCAGTGGCACTGTGCCTGCTTTGCAAGTGCAAGGTCCTGAGTTCAATGCCCAATACCAGAAAACAAACAAACAAAAAAGCAAATAAAAAAAATTTAAAAAATTAAAAGTGTGGTAAAGTGATAAAGTAGATGGAGAAACTTCTCAGTATGAGGATGCATGATTACCACCCGTGTTGAATTCCACTCAGCTTAATGCTTATTCAAGATAAAGCTAAAAGCCTAGTTGAAGACTTTAGAAGACAAAAATGGAGTGAACAGGGTGCATCTTTTATTACAAGTCACAGATGGTTTAACGATTCAAGGCTAAAGCCAACCTTCATAAAGTAAAAGTAATCAGATGTGGGCCAGATCCTTCTTCCCCCATCTGGGGAATCCTGAAGCTCCTGATGCTCCTTCACCTCCACCATCTCCCACCTCTCCTCCTTCCTCCAGTTAGTTCTTGTCAGTTCATTCCATGCAGCCCTCTATATTCCAGTTGTACTGTACTGTACCACCATTTTAAGGTAACCATAAAAGGAAAAATATTTTACGTACAGTATTTGTGGTATTTGGTTATTTTATGCTTTACATTTTATATTTGTCAAAGGTATATAAGACTCACTTTGTCACACTTAAGGATGAATCTGATTTATGAATGTTCTCCAAGAATGGACTTTATTCATAAGTCAAAGACTTACTGTAACATATTTTGTGGGGAAGAACTCTAAAACTGTCTCACTCATTATCACTTTCCATTTATGTATTCATTTGTTTATACGTATTGCTTCATGATACCCTATTTTATTCAGTAGTTTAGAATGTATTGCTCTCATTCTTTGTGTTGATGCTGAAATTAATTCATTTTAGCCAAAGTCCCTTTACAGATGGATCCTATGTCCTTATGACATGGTTCCATCATTCATTACTTTCTTTCTTTTTGGCATAAGATATTCCAGATCATCTTATGCTTTTTCCACCCTAGTGCTATAATTGGCCAACTAAAATTCTCCAAAGAGATTTGGTTCCTTTTATTGGAGGGTGGAAGTAGAAGCCAGGAGTTAAGAGCTAGGTATGTTCATACTATTGGGAGGGGAAGTGGCCACTATTCCCAAGTCTTCTCAGTATGGAACTACAGTATGCTGTGCACACACACCACATATTTAAGTCTGTAGTCTTAGAATCTGTCAGTCAACTCATACCTCCAATTTCAATCTGTAGGGTTCATCCTAACCTTTTCCTTTTTCATATCTGTATCTTTCTTTACTGACAGCAAGAACTCCAGGTCCTGTTATCATTAATAAGTCAGAGTTGATCAATCACTATAGAGCAAATCTCCCAGTGCTGTTTCCAAACCTTTCCGTGTGGAACTGCCTTGCTTAACTGCTAGGCACTCCCTCCCTCAAAGCCTTCCCCCAACAGGTGCTCTCTGCACTTCACCCATTCTCCAGCATTCTGTGTGAGTCAGCCCTTTGTGTGTGGGGCTTCTCAGCTTGCTTGTATCCCACACCCACGGAGGCTGCCCTCTGTACCTGCACACCTAGGAGCTAGAGACTGCCTCTTTCAGGACAGGGAGAGGGTATCTCTGGATTTAAGTTTTATTTAGGCTCTGGCATTCATTCATTCATCCATCCATTTATAATTTTTTAAATGGACATTCTTTAATCCTTTCACTTTGAGATCTTATGTTTTCTCTCACTCTGGGAAATTTAGCCTTTATTCCTGTAAGTATGTCTTTACTTACCCCAATTTATTTTTTCTGTCCTTCTATATGTACTACTGTGTGGATGTCGATTTCCCTCATTTCTCTATTCCCATAGCTCTTGATTTTTCTCTTTATGTATTTTCTCTTCCAGATGTCTTTTGGCAGAGTACCATAAGCCTAATATTTTTAGCTTATTAATTTATTCAGCTGTATCCTTTCTGGTCTTCAATTCATCTATTAAGTTTGTTTTAATGATTACATTTTTCATATGTACTATTTTTATTTGCTCATAATGACAGTTTCTTTCTGCTTTTCTTATATTTTCTCTTATTGAACATGTTTATTTTAAGCTTTGGTGTTTTTTTTTCCTCCTGTGAACTTATGTATTATGAGGACATAACCACTTTGGTCGGTGAGGATATGCAACGGAGTGGGGAGAGCGTGGTCTGTGCCTGGTTTGTACCTCCTGCTGCCCTCAGGGAGCGAGGGGAAGATTGGGGGTGGGTATGCAGGAGAGGACATACCCAGGGTCAAGGTTCTGTATAGTATGACAGGCACAGCACTTATCCATGAACTGAGGGAGTGAAGTAAGAGGCAAGAAGGTGCCTGTGAGCATGTGGACATAGGGACCACTCAGGGCCACCCGTGTGTGTTTTAAATGGCTCTGCCTCTAGCTGGCTGCTGTGCCAGCTGGTACTATGGTACTGTGGTACTCTGAAGCCCCTTGACAGCTCTAGGCTTGTGGACAGTTTTCCTGCCATGTGGTCCCATTTGCCTATTAGAGGCAATATCAGAAAGAAAAATATTCACCTTACCTTCCAGCTCTGGTTTCTTACCCTTGTCTGCTCTGCCTACATTTTCACCTCAAGTTGGGACCACATTTTCCTATGTTGTCCCAGGGATTTCTGTATATTTATTTGTTTGTTTGTTTTTTGGTACTGGGGATTGAACTCGGGTCCTTGTGCTTGCAAGGGAGTCAGCAGAACCTCTGAGCTAAATTCCTGGCCCTAGGGATTTCTGTATGTAAACAAATGAGTATGAAGAAAATTACTATAGCTTACCATTTAAAAATAGCTGATTAATATAACTGATTACATATGGAGATAGTTTAGATTCAATAAAATACTGTATATTTGTGGTGTCCCCCTCCTCTCCAGTACTGTACTAAGAATTGAAGATCAAGCTCAGAGCCTTCTCACAAGCTATATCTCCAGCCTTTTTATTTTTTAAAGAAATATTATTTTGGGGGGCCAGGGATTTAGCTCAGTGGTTCTGCTGCCTGCCTTGCAAACACAAGGACCTGAGTTCAATCCTTAGTACCAAAAAAAATTTATTTTTCATTTTTTAAGCTGCATCCCAACCCTATTTATTTATTTATTTTTAAAATTTTGAAACAGTCTCAGTAAGTTGCCCAGGCTGGCCTTGAACTTTTGTCTTCCACTACAGTCTCCTGAGTATCCAGGATTGCAGATGTGTGCCACCACACCCAGCTGCCTTTCCTCATCTTCTTAAATATAAATGTAAGTTACTGGTAGTGTGGCACTGTGTGGTGATTTGTATTCCTTCTGTGAAGTACTTAACTCTGTCCCTCTTTGGGGATTTTAGGTTTTCAGTTTTTAATTGTGATAATGATATATGGAAATGGTTTTCTCCATTTCCGTTTTCCTGGATGTACTTACAGACTGAATCACACGGGCAAAAGTTGACAAAGATTGATATTTTAGATTGTTAGCCATACAAAGGAGTACTTAGAACAGAATTAAGCATTCATATAATACTTCTTAGAAGAGGATGGCACCACTTAGCTCAGTGGTGCCACTGCCTGCCTCACAAGCACAAGGACTCTACTTCTATTGCCAGTACCAAAAAAAAAAACAAAAAACAAAAACAAACTTTTTAGGTGAACGAATATTATTAAATTGCTTTCCAATATGGTTCTACCAGTTAATTCCCACCAATATGAAACTATTTTTCAGCACCATCTTAAAATACTTTGCTGATTTGAGTGTAATCAGAAAAATTCTTCATCTTGGGAAAAAACCCTATCAGATAACACGAATAAGTTTTATTTCTCTTTTTAGTGTTACTGATGGGTAAATGAATCTGTTTTCTTACAGGACTGAATTTGCTCTTAACGAAATCATGTCCTCTGGAGGTGCTGAAGATGACATCCCTCAGGGAGAAAGAAAAACAGTCACAGATTTTTGTTATCTTCTGGATAAATCTAAGCAGCTGTTCAATGGGTTAAGGTTAGTGGGCTTTTGATGATTTACACTTTTGCCTGGTTATGATGTTCTTTTCCTGTCTGATTTGTTGCATCTTTCTAAAAGTCATGGATTGAGTATTATAAAAATTTCTACGAGAGCTGGGCATTTAGCTCAGTGGTTCCACCACCTGCCTTAGAAATGCAAGATTCTGAGTTCGATCCCCGGTGCCAAAAAAAAAAAAAAAAAAAAAAAAAAATAAAAGAGAAGGGTGGG